AGTATTCTATTCCATGAGTTAGTTAATAAATGGAAAATCTATTTTATAATGTTCCATTCACACTTTTTCCATTGTGACCTTAGATGCAAAATTTTTGTACCAATGCGCGAATCTATAAATAAAGCTTGGTTTATTAATGCGGAAGTCATGTTAAAAGACTCACCTCCCCTGAAGGTTTTCATTTAAAAGTGGTGTATATTTTTTTTTGTGTGAAAAATCTGCTTGCGTAGATTAGATTAAATGGTTCACTTTCGGAAAAGGAAAAGTAGCCGTTGCATCAGAACTTTGAATGATGTAAAATATCCTGATGTCCGAATTTCATTTTCTCTTCTAGTTTCTGAGATCTAAACAGAACGAAAGAACAGACAGATCACACAAAACTAATAGCGTCTATTCCCCTTTCGGGGGCCGCTAAAAATCTGTATGTTATGAGCTTGACCCCTCCCCTTTTTTTTAATCACTGAGTTATGAAGTAGCAGTACAAAATCCTTTGTCCGCTAAATACACTCCACTATTACAAGATAACACATGATTGTTCACTTGCAGTAAATGCCAGCTTGTTTCTCACTAGGGAGCACAAAAGCTTGTGTGTCTGGCCAAAAAGGTTCTCACCAGGGACACAGAAGCTTGTGTGTCTGACCAACTAGGTTCTCACTAGGGACACAGAAGGTTCTTTTTTCATTGTTTATTACATTTCTATTTGAGTTACAGGTTGTGTCTTGGCTGTTACATTTCTCTTTGAGTTACAGGCTGTGTCTTGGCTATTACATTTCTCTTTGAGTTACAGGCTGTGTCTTGGCTGTAACATTTCTCTTGGAGTTACAGACTGTGTCTTGGCTGTAACATTTTTCTTTGAGTTACAGACTGTGTCTTGGCTGTAACATTTTTTTTGAGTTACAGGCTGTGTCTTGGCTGTTACATTTGACACATTGGACGCTGTGGACAACCTTTGGACACTCTACATTAAAGGAAAGCTGACACCGATCTTTCAGGATCTACTAGTGGACCAAGCGTTATTGAAGGCTACCAAGACAGTAAAGATCTCGCTCAGGTCGAAACTGTGGGAGGATGAGTATAAGTCGTGTTTAAACGAAATCATCACAAGATCCACAGTTAGACAAAGACTTTCCAGTTTTGGTAGGTTCATTAGGTTTTTAATCGTTAGATTGGTCAGGAAAAGTCAATTATGTGTTCTAATCTAGCTTTCGTATTTGATATGATTGATCTTGACTTAATTAAACTAGCAGAATATGGAGTGAAAAAATATAATTTCTTAAGATATTCAGATATTTATTGAGCTAGCCTGTAACCAACATACACATTTCTTAATTTAATATTCATACAAAATTTTTATGGATGGCACTAAACAAAGGAAGTAATTCAGTTCCATTACAGTAAAAAAAAACACACACCATTTTAATGTCTTCTAACTCACAATAAACTCTCACATCAATTGGTGGGGAATCCAATAATCTCTCACAACAACTGGTGGGCAATCAAATAATCCCTCACAACAACTGGTGGGCAATCAAATAATCCCTCACAACAAATGGTGAGCAATCAAATAATCTCTCACAACAATTGGTGGGGAATCAAATAATCTCTCACAACAACTGGTGGGCAATCAAATAATCCCTCACAACAACTGGTGGGCAATCAAATAATCCCTCACAACAAATGGTTAGCAATCAAATAATCTCTCACAACAACTGGTGGGCAATCAAATAATCCCTCACAACAACTGGTGGGCAATCAAATAATCCCTCACAACAAATGGTGAGCAATCAAATAATCTCTCACAACAATTGGTGGGGAATCAAATAATCTCTCACAACAAATGGTGGGGAATCAAATAATCTCTCACAACAACTGGTGGGCAATCAAATAATCTCTCACAACAATTGGTGGGGAATCCAATAATTTCTCACAACAATTGGTGGGGAATCAAATGATCTCTCACAACAACTGGTGGGGAATCAAATATCTCACAATAATTGGTGGGGAATCAAATAATCTCTAACAACAACTGTTGGGGAATCAAATAATCTCTCACAACAATTGGTGGGGAATCAAATAATCTCTCACAATAATTGGTGGAGAATTAAATAATCTCTCACAACAACTGGTGGGCAATCAAATAATCTCTCACAACAATTGGTGGGGAATCAAATAATCTCTCACAACAACTGGTGGGAAATCCAATAATCTCTCACAACAATTGGTGGGGAATCAAATAATCTCTCACAACAATTGGTGGCAATAAAATAATCTCTCACAACAACTGGTGGGGAATCCAAAAATTGTTGCAATAGGCCGTGATGAAACATGCTTCCAGTGGACGGAACACTTCCAATGTAAAGGTCAGTGAAGAGTCCAAGCTTTATCTCCCAACATTAGAAAGGAAGCCATGATATTGATATCTAGTCTCGTTTATTTATAGACATCGAAGTCTGAATGACTCATTGAAACTTGTACGCAGCATGATAAATCTCATCAAATGTATTTGACAAAGTGAGTCGCAATGGCTTGTGGATGATTCTGTCTCGACCCTCTGAAGCACATACATTGGCGTGTTGTGCCTCCTCATGTGGCTGGCGAGACCTATGTGAGAACGATTCTCTATAGAGAATGGTGTGGTGAAGATGGGTTGTGCGCTACCGCCAATACTCTTTGCATTATTCTTTGGAGCAAGGCTACATTAGAAAAAGACGCGACGGCTGGATGAGGGCCCACATCTACACCAGGTCTAGCACCCAATGTGGCGGCTCTTGGTCTCTTGCTCTTGAAGAGATCATTAGATTGCTACTTTTGAGCTGCGCGCTATGTGGACGATTGCGTTCTTCTTGCACACACAGCAAACAAGAGCTTCAACCTGCCGTCCATGAATTGCTGCTCTGTCCTGGTAGTGTGAACAGATGTATCTTTCCCCCCTCATTTTAACTCTCCCCTTACATAATTATGGCCCATGAATTAGCACGCCCACCCTCCCAGGCACAAACTTCTGACCGAGAATTGTAGTTTCACTTTTGTAACATTCCTGTCACCATTCTCAAAAATAATTTTACATACAATCATTGACTTCAGTGGCGGAGCTAGGGTGGGGGGGGGGGGCGGAGGAGGGGAGAATTTAAAAATTCCCCCTTGCCCCCACTGGAGTGGAGCCCCCAAATGAGTGTCTTTTACATTAAATATTACGAAAAATACAGGGGCCCCCAATGAGTTCAAGCCCCCCGGGCCCCCAAATGATGGAAAAGTCCTAGCTACGCCCCTGGCCTTATCTTTGATTTTGTAATTCAATAACAAAGTAGTTCATAAGTTCTGTTTTGTTTTTGGTGGAACTTTCATCAGCAGGTCCTACAGCTTGGCGCGAGTCTTCATTTTTGTAAACAGCGTAGACAATCCTTTATGCCCTATGAACCCGACATGCACAGAATATATGTTTCTTATGTAGAAAACTGTCATGCTTATTACGCATAATAAATATTAAAATTCAATATTTTAAAGGGGGGGGGGGAAGAAGTCTGGCCTCGAATATAATTATTAAGTAAGTAGAGTTCACAGGCCTATCATTAGAGTTGTAAAGACTCGGAATAGATTTATACATTCGCTTAACCAGGATTGTTTCATTAAGGTTATAAATGTCATAAAAATCTATTTTTAGTTGTTAAGAGAATAACAATCATTTTTACTAAAAAGTCGCCAGCTTCGTATTTACATGCACTTGATTTAGTTACTACTATAGTTTTCTTCATATAATGACTTCATGTCACTGTTTTGTTCTTGTTTCTAGAGAATGACTTCATGTCAATGTTTTGTTCCTTTTTCTAGAGAATAACTTTAGGTCAGCGTTTTGTTCTTGTTTCTAGAGATGACTTCATGTCAGTGTTTTCTTTTTCTAGAGAATGATTTCAGGTCAGTGTTTTGTTTCAATTTTTGGAGAATGACTTCAAGTCAATGTTTTGTTCTTGTTTCTAGACAATGACTTCAAGATGGTCTCTCGGATAAAGCAGTCGCAACAAAATATGCCAGGAATCATCGCCAAGGCCAGGGAACACGAAAGTCAATTCGAGCGCAACCTTGGAGAGTTTATGCTGACCTTAAAACGAACCCTCCCACCAAACATGACAGTCCTGAAAAACTTGAAAGAATTTTCAACTAACATCAGAGTAGCTAAAGGAATCAAGAAAACAGGCTTTGAGTCAGTAGATCAGTTCTTGAAAGCCTTGGAATTTTTTAGACAGTAAGTCATTTGAAAGATATTTGTGGATTAGTTTGTGCGAGACTGCTACTATATTCTGTGAAGCATTGATATTTTTCTAGCTGCTTGGTTTGATCCGCATTTTTTTCCTTCAAATGTGATAGGAAGGCTTGAAAAAAAAAGGGAATAAAGAACTTAAGAAATAATGTTGAGCCTTTGAATAAACTGAATCAGAACTTGTTATCATGACGATGATAGAACAAGATATTTCCCTTGGTCTCATTTCATTTGTCGTGTGTTACAATTGATCTAGCATAGAAAGTCACAGGCAAACGCTATCCACTTGTTAAAGAATGATAGACGCATTCAGACATTCATGTCTTGACATTCTTTATGTGACTGTTAATATTCCAACAATTTCTTTGATGTCTTGTCTTCAGGACATTTGCAGACATTGAGAAGCAGACAATCAATCCTTTGTGCCAAGTGAGAGCTGTCTGTGAACATGAGAAACAAGTGGAGTTCAAGAAACAGATCCGAGACTCCTGGGCCGAAATGACGTCACTGCTGAAGCAGGACTCTGATCTCAGTCAGGCCAAGTACAAAGACTGGGAAAGGAAAGTTTTAAAAATGGAGCACGCATTGTTTTTTGGCTTAATAAGTTTGGTACCTTTAAGTTTGGACCGATTGACTACCATTGATGTCAGCACTGATGAATACATCATGGCGTTTCCAGAGATGGCGGAGTAAATACCAACAAAAAGAGTTACATAACACGAGTGTGTGAGATGGAGGCTTTGTGAGATGGAGGCTGTGTGAGATGGAGACTTTGTGAGTTCTCCACAGCTGTGTGAGAAAGAGGTTGTGTGAATGAAAATACAAGATCAGGAAACTGATTCTTGGCGTATTTCTTTAGTATTAAACTAACAATAACAAAAATATAATGCATTTGAATATTTCAAAAGTAACATTCAGACTCTCAAGTATGTTTTAAATAACACATTTCTACAAGCATTTGATTTGGGAATTTCTTTGGGTTTTTTTTAGAATTGGTGTTTGTATAGCGCGTCTGTGATGCTGCAAGAATGTGCTCATCAATGAATAACTTGATCTACTTGGTCTGGGGTATCTGGTAAAAGGTTTCCCCTGCAGTCATTAGGCAGTTCATCAATGAATAACTTGATCTACTCTTGTCTAGGGTATCTGGTAAAAGGTTTCCCCTGCAGTCATTAGGCATTTCATCAATGAATAACTTGATCTACTCATGTCTGGGGTATCTGGTAAAAGGTTTCCCTGCAGTCATTAGGCAGTTCATCAATGAATAACTTGATCCTTGTTGCATTTTAAAAGCGCTTCTTGGAATGGCGTAGAAAAACAAGAAAAAGAGATAGGGAAAATGTGCGGGAAGAATAATGAGACCTTTCTTTTAAAACGTAAGTAAATAAAAACCAGAAGTATGGGAAAGATTTTCAATTCAATAAATCAACAAATAAATTTGAAACAAAAATCGTAAAAATTAATTTGGGCTACAGGGGACATAACTCGGCAAGTGTAAATAGACTTTCGCTGTCTATAATGTGACCAAAATGTATAAAATTGAAGTGACGAAAGAAGATTTTGTTCACATATCTATTTATTTGTATTTCTATGCGTAGAGTTTCGAAAAGAAACTCAAGGAGGTCACTTCCAGGGTCCCACGTGGATAATGTGAGAAACACTTCTCATTTGTCACAATAGTCTTTTAGACTTGAATATCGACCAGCCTTTCTTCATTTTATTTGCACTGCAATCTTCTTACAAGACGACATAATGCATTAAAGACCTAGGAAAAAATGAGTTTCTGCAATGCTGAAAACTCCTAAAGCCAGGGCTCCGCCCAGAACCTCGTTTTCAGCGCTCACACAGACCAATGGCTGAGATTCTGCAAATGTTTATTGTTTTAGACTAGATGAGCGGGACTATTAAAAGTATTAGACTGGCACAACTGTTTCCAAAACGTCTCAAAGACTTTCAAATGTGAGAAGGAAAAGAAGTTCCGTTCTCTGTTTTTAATTTGAATACATTTACATTTGAATCTTTGTACTAACTGTGTTGATCTGTGGCATTTGACATCTCGAGAGACGATCTTTTCCCTTTGCAACTTCTTGTGTGACTAAAGAGGCCAATCCTTGATACACAGCTGCGATCGCATTATGTAACTGTTGATAACGACATTTTAAAGCAAAATACAAACACATGTTTACACTCAATCAACGAATGTAGGTAGCTGACTGTAGTTTAGTTCAAGAAAAATTAACGATAGCTTTTATTGGGATTTGTGTGTGTGTGTGTGATTGGGTGACACCGATCCTAGTGAGACCACTGATTGGATGCATAAGCTACCACGAGTTCAGAGCCTTAAAAAGTGCACACACATCTGGGACATGATAAAATACTGCTGATGTGTTGTTTTCATCCCCCTGTTTCGGGTCTTCTTTAATAAGCACCTAAAGTGGTTTAGGTCCAAACTCTTGGTATTTTTGTCGAGAATTTGTTCTCTCTCAGTTAATGATGGCCAATGACTTTGACTTTCCTTTGTAGTTGTGACGATGACTAGATAGTTCTAGCATTACACTCCTTTGATTGGTTCCTACACTTTAGATTGATTTGTCCTAGGGCTGTAACATTTCCTCCTTTTTGTACCAAGTTTAGAGCAACTCCCTCTGTCTGTCTAGTAAATATTTTGTATACGTTAGTTCTACCGCACTCATTCTCTGATAAAGTTGAAAGTTTGCAAAGTTATTAAATGGTTTAGACAAAAAATGAATAAAAAAAAACAATAATTATTAGTAATGAATTATTTTGTTTGATACCAACAAGGGGATTTAATTCTTCGGTATTCACAAATATGGCTAAATTTGTAGTTTTCCCCCTTACATACGTGTTAACGCTTTTTCTCCCACACGCATTAAGGATTAAGTTCATACTTGAACACTTATTGATTGTAGCTAACAAAACATGAATCAATTACAATTAACCAATTAGTCAATTATTTATTGGCAATTGATTGTTTTGTTTGATATCAAATAATTGAAATAACGTCTACCTTATTAATAGATATAGTCTTAGATAAGCTGTGTGTAAGTGTGTGTGTGTTTTAAAAAGAGAATTGAATTTTTGAACACCTTATCCCCCCCCCCCCCCTAAAAACTAGTGCCGGATCAGGTTGAAACTTGAACCAATCATTTGTTGTATTTTACAAAACATAAACAAACAAAAAAAATAGCAATCATCTAATTAATTATTGATAATTAGTAAGTTAGTGTGGTATCGAAAAAAGGGAATTAAATGCTACTTATTGAGATATGTAGACTGTATATGTGGAGTTATTCCTCTTTTAACGTTTCGTACAGGTGTCTTCTCCCAGTTGCCATTCTCAAAGGAAATTGAAATTTTCAAAATATTTTATTTCATACTCGATGAGAATATAGGAACCAAGCAAAACATTTATTTCATACTCGATGAGAATATAGGAACCAAGCAAAACATTTATTTCATACTCGATGAGAATATAGGAACCAAGCAAAACATTTATTTCATACTCGATGAGAATATAGAAACCAAACATTCCTTTATTTTATACTCCATGAGAATATAGGAACCAAACAAAACATTTATTTCATACTCGATGAGAAAATAGGAACCAAGCAAAACATTTATTTCATACTCGATGAGAAAATAGGAACCAAACATTCCTTTATTTTATACTCGATGAGAATATAGGAACCAAACAAAACATTTATTTCATACTCGATGAGAATATAGAAACCAAACATTCCTTTATTTTATACTCGATGAGAATATAGGAACCAAGCAAAACATTTATTTCATACTCGATGAGAATATAGAAACCAAACATTCCTTTATTTTATACTCGATGAGAATATAGGAACCAAACAAAACATTTATTTCATACTCGATGAGAAAATAGGAACCAAACATTCCTTTATTTTATACTCGATGAGAATATAGGAACCAAACAAAACATTTATTTCATACTCGATGAGAATATAGAAACCAAACATTCCTTTATTTTATACTCGATGAGAATATAGGAACCAAGCAAAACATTTATTTCATACTCGATGAGAATATAGAAACCAAACATTCCTTTATTTTATACTCGATGAGAATATAGGAACCAAACAAAACATTTATTTCATACTCGATGAGAAAATAGGAACCAAACATTCCTTTATTTTATACTCCATGAGAATATAGGAACCAAGCAAAACATTTATTTCATACTCGATGAGAATATAGAAACCAAACATTCCTTTATTTTATACTCCATGAGAATATAGGAACCAAACAAAATATTTATTTCATACGCGATGAGAAAATAGGAACCAAGCAAAACATTTATTTCATACTCGTTAAGAATATAGGAACCAAACATTCATTTATTTTATATTCGATGAGATTATAGGAACCAAGCAAAACATTTATTTCATACTCGATGAGAATATAGGAATTAAGCAAAACATGAACCTAGTAGTTAGTGGTCATTAATTAATTTTGTTTTATAAAAAAAAACATATTCAAGACATATATGCTAGGGATTTTGTAGTTCTTCCCCTTAATAAGCTCTGTGTTTTTTTATTACTTTTTCTTTTTTTTGCATGTTTTGAACCTTCACTAAACGGGCCAACGCTCTGAGCCCGTGAAGTTTTGTATCTGTTAGCATCCTCCGGTTGATAGACCCATCAGTACACATGTTTGAATTCTAGATCTAGCACCTCTGTTAAGTTTGATGACAGCCCTAAGGCCAGAGCTATAGACACACCATGCAAACATTTCTTTAGACCAGCTGTGGCCCACATGCGGCCCGCCGACTGTTTTATGCGCCCGTGGACACCCACAGACATCAAGTGTGCACACCGATTATACATATAAAATTACAAATATATTATAAATAAAATAATAGTAAATATATCTTTATATAGATCTATATATATATATTATATAGCTGGTGACCCTTAGGCAGATTACTGCACACTGTGCTACAGCCTGAAACAAGGCGTTGTTTTGTAAAGTAGTTCTAAGAAGTAATGTAGTATTTTTTAAACCCTAACCTATGTAACATATCATTTAAGTTTTAGATCTAGATCTAGTAATTGAGCATCAAAAATAAAAGTAGGCCTACTCTCGTCTCATAATTATTATTTTGCAATTTTTAGATATAAAATCTAGAAAGATCTATGTTATTAATCTATTTAAATGTACATAAGATGATTAAAATCATCAGACATGAATTATTTCGATCTAGGATTTTTGAAGCATTATCTCAATGGAAACTATCAGGAAATGGCTTTGTTTCATATATTTGCGTGAATATATAGTTCTGTGTTTAATAGCCCGTTCTAAAGAAAAATCCGAGAAATGATTTTGGATTATTTCTAAACTTTGAAAACTAAAGATCATTACTTTTCTAAGACAGAAAATATTGATTGAAGCGACTTCCCTTACAGCTTGAAAAAGAGTTACGTACATAAATATATATATATAGTTCTGTGAATCGATCAATCGCGGATTAGAATTTGTTTCCGATCTCCAGTATAGATATAATATAGATGTCAATAATCCCAACCATAAACTCTAAACGGGAAATTTGGGCCACAGGCCTTTCCGAGAAGTAAGACCTACTTGAACATTTGAGGACAAAACATTCCGATGTTCGGTACCACACAGTAGTATCTGCTGTTTTAGCATGGGACACTGGCGGATCCGGGGGGGGGGGGGGGGCTAAGGGGGCGATCGTCCCCCCCCCCCTCGGCCGATCCCCCCCCCCCCCTCCTGAAGAACGACGATACACAAATACTCGTCATCAATATTTCAGTTGACTTCGATCGATGGGTAGACCTGTCAATAGTGGATACCGACGTAATCAGCAAAAAGTTCGTTTCCGATGTCAAATTTGTGGTAGAAAAAATATGAAACCCTCTGAGTACACATCATAATGGACGCTGTGATGGAAGCTTACAATAATAATGTGAAAACATACGTCACGGAACGA